TATGCAAGGTTAAATTTTTGTGCCTTCAAGTCAGAGCACTTACTGAAACTCCTCAATGTGTTCCTTTAGACTTACAGGGCAAGTAAACCTACATCTCAAGTTACATGTACTTATACTAGCTACTAATTCTGTTTAAGAATATCTACTTAAACATTCCCAAGTTTCTAACACTTGTAAAACTCTAATGCTACCCGCTCATGCCCTCGGAATTGGCCAACAGGTGTCTTAAAGTGAAGCTACATCAGTTTGGGGTCAATGTTTTTGTTTCCTTTAGTGACTAAGTGTTGTTATATAAACTGATGTTTGTATAATCAGTTATTATTTATATCAAGTCTTTATTTTACAAATAAACAGGGCACACTCATAACACTCATTTTGTAAAGCATTAAGGATTTTCTAAAGAAAGGGCACAGCAGTAGATTATTTTCCCTGAGACCGTCTCTTTCTCTACCTTTCTCTTTAACTGAATGTCCATATGGTCCCAACTGAAGAAAGAAGGTAGGAGAGGAGAAGGTGAGTTACGCCAGTATTTCGGTAAACCTGTGCATAGCATATGCCTATATTGCCTGAATGCAGACTTTGTGTTTTCAGGGAATACGTTCATACACTATACATATGCATATACCCGCATACAGCTGTGCACAGCCAATCATATCTAAGGACGGCTGAACGCAGCAGTTGTGTATCTCAGCCCCTGAAAAAGCCAGAATGCACGTTGTATGCCCCTAAATGTGGCCGTGTACAAGCGTAAACAACTACATTTTTCTAAAAAAGTAGCCAAGGTTAGCTAGGTGAACATAAGAAAAGAAACCTGCTCCACCTGCTGGCTTCAGACAGTAAAAATGCAATATTCATATGCAATATTGCATATCTACCTAAAAAAAAGAAAAATGTTTAAACATGTGTAGTGCACTAGTGGAAAGGGTGCTATTAAATCTAGTGTTTATCAAATTGTATGTGGTCTGATACTAATCTGTAGTTTGGTTCATGTGGCTTTCCCCCTAAACAATCTATCCTTGCCTGCCATCTGTCTGCTACCAGAGACACTCCAGGGTGTGTCCTGGTGATAGAACAGAGCAGCCAATGGGATTGCTATGAGTAGATATCCCTCTCCAGCCAATTACTTTTGAAGGAGCCAGTGGTGAATGCTGGGGGAGGAGATAAATACTTGGGTTGGGCCATGTGAGCTTTCTTCTTCCTCCCCCGGCCCTGCCTGCGGGGAGGGTTCGTTGGACTGCCTGCGCTGACTAGGCCTGAAAGTCTGGGGTCTAGCTATGGAATCACCCTGGGACCTACTGCTAAAGACGAGGATCAGTAACTTCTACCTCAAGCAATGCTGTGTCAGGTGCTTCACCTGCTGTGCATGGAAGCTGTAACCACACTCTGAAAAGCAATGGAATCTACGTCTGCCTGGATGATCCTAACCCTCCTCTACCTTTCTCCCTGAAGTTCTGCAAATAAAGGTTTCTAGCATCACAACTACAGTCTGGACCTCACTTCAATCGTTCAACAGAAGGGCGTCAAGTGCTGATGGGCAGAAGCCAGCAAATGTATCCGTAACAGTCCGTGAACCCATCGCACTCCTGACCACTGATTCCAAATTAATGAAGGTGGGTGCAGCGGTGATCAACAGATGATAAATATTATCATGCGCAAAGAGAAGTATGGACACCGGCACTCCAGTTGCACAGATACAGATGCCCCCGTTTATTGACAAAAATGCAGCATAATCACACTCAGTGCACAATGCTGCATTTTCGTCAATAAACAGACACATCTGTATTGCAACTGGAGTGGCGGTGTCCATACTTCTCTTTGCAAATGTATCCGTAGACATGAAGAATCAGAGTTGTCGTAACCCATAGCAGTACCCAAGCTGCGCTGGTTTGCTGTGGATCCATAATAGAGGTTTCTTATAGAGCAAAGACAAGGAGACCCGTTAGTTCAGTTTACTGTAGATCACACCTTCAGAGCCAGCGGTAGTGTTATCCAGTATTGGCATAGCGCTGACCAGGAAGTGGGAGCGCTGCACATGTATATTTCTTTTTGTCCTGAAAATAATGTTGGGTGAAAGTCACATTCACTGCCTTAAAATAATACTCCTTTATAATTTATATGAAGCCTATTTTCTTTTAGTTTTGGTAGAGTAGTGAAGGGTTAAAACCCATGTCAGCTTTGTTTGCCATTTCCTTCACTTCCTGTCCAATGGATACAATTGGAAGTGAGAGTAAATCCTTCCAAAATCAAAAATAGGCGCCCTTAGGGCCTTGACACACCATTAAGATGTGTTACACATGTTACTGCAATGTGTGGCAAGACAAAATAAATGCATTGCTGTGATACAGTGCCATTCGTTCCAAATGGTCCTCCAATGTGTTGAAGCTCATATGTGCCATGGTGCACCGCACAGCAACGCAGTTTAGTGCATTGTTACACTTTGTGCTGGAACACAGGTATGTCAGCAAGTGTATTGGGGTGCCAACTAGAATGAATGCCACGCATTGCAACAATGTATTTAATGTGCGTCACCATAAATAGAAGGGGTGAACAGCCGCTTACAATTGCCACTTAAATGTCCGCAATCAAGTATTTTTCCCTCTGTCCCTCTTCTGGTGGCAGGTCAACATTTTTAGGGTTATTCACAAAAGGGTGAAGAGTTTGGAGAAGGCAGGAGAAGTGAGCAATCCAAATCTGGGCTAAATTCTCCAATTCAGCTCACTTTCCGGATCAGCTATTTTGGCCTAGATTGGTCACTTCTCCTGCCTTCTCCAAACTCTTCACCCTTTTTTTAATAACCCTGTTACTTTCTTTTTTAAACCATGGCAGAAACTGAAAGACCGGCTACTAAAAACATCACTTTCACTATTCCTTTCCACCAAATTTTATGTATTATTAGTTTCAAAGCAGCCAGAAAGCTGCAGAACAGATAATACATAACCCAGACATCCAGGCATTGGCATCATTAGTGTAAATCCATTATCTACCGATTTAAAATGCTTTTTAATACATTTGCTTAATTCAGGCGTCTTTTCTTTTATTAAAGGGCTAATTAACTTTATGCGTCACCTGTAATAACAGACCTTGCTATACAAGCTTTATACTTCAGCTGAGATCACCCTCCACACCTTTTCATTCATTGCTGCTGGTAGTCTGCAATTGATCTGAATTATTGTACTCATTATTTTGGGTAACAGCTTGATCTATTTAGAGTATTATTCTTTTTCACTCTTTTAGTAAGGTACATCAGTGATCGCGTAAGGCCTGTTTGGCATGGCACAGCCTTTTGTGAGGAGCTGTATAAAATGGTATCACAAAATGACAACATATGCCACGTTATCCCAAAAAATTGTTTGTTTTTTTCGTTAAAATATTTTGGGATATTTTGGCTTCTCCAGCTATTGGTTTTAGGATACTGGGCTCAATTTAGGGGCAGAGCCCAAACTAACCATAGGTCACCTGAAGCTTATCCAACCTCAACCTAACCACTGAAATATCAATTTCTCAAACAATTCATCCCCACACAGCTACCTCCTCATGTCACTTCCCCCTCCCTTTTAGATTGTAAGCTCTCACGGGCAGGGTTCTCCTTACCATCTTGTCTTGAATTGTATTATAATTTTGTAATTGTAATGTCTTCCTTATATTGTAAAGTGCTGTGCAAACTGTTGGCGCTATATACACTAAGAGGCCAGATTATTATGACCACCCCACCAGTACTTCGTTGGGCCACGAGATAACTCCACGAGATGACTTTGTTGGGCTGCCTCGTAACTCCACGCGATGTTGAAAGTAATCAGTATTGCTTCTGACTTGAAGAAGAGAGGTTCACTCTCGAAAGCTTGTCTTTTATATATGTTGTTAGTCCAATAAGAAAGGTATCATTGCACACTGCATTACTACGTTTTTTTTTGTTTTTTTTTACATCTTGTCTACCGGACTAATACGGCTTACCCATTTATATTGCACTGTATATATTAATATATATAAATATATATACATTTCCTATGCTCCTCTGTTTGTTGAAAGCCCCAAGAATGAGGCTTCTCATAGGTGGGAGTGGGTTTACCTATACATTATATGGACAAACTGGTATGGTGTTTGGACAGAGTAATAAATAGTGGCATTAGTACTGATTGATTGAGTAATAAATAGTGGCATTAGTACTGATTGACTATGGTTGCTTAAAAGGAACCTTTGAAGACATTAGTACAGGAATTGCCATTATTGACTAGGTTTAGCTGGGCAGGCTTCAGGGCTTTCATCCTCATACTGGGTTCACTATCGAGTGAGTGACTGACATGAAACCAGCATGCAGGATAGGCATTTAGACTTATAAGAATTTCTTGGCTGCATAGTAATTCCAAGTCATGTAGTGAAGCCAGGATGACTGTTCTCCAGCCTACACTTTTAAATCCAAGTCAGCAATGGCAGCTCCCAAGGATCTTGTGTGGTCCCACCACATAAAAAACAAAAGAAAGCCCGTTAAATCTCAGAGGCACCTGATGGCAGCGATAGAATGGATGTCAAGGAGTCACCAATAGATGATAAATTCATTTATTGTACAAAGACCCAAACCAATGAGCAGATCCTGAAAAAAGGTACATGCTGACAGCTGGTCTAAATTTGTTGAAATGGCTCAAAACTGGGACCCAAGATGCTAACAATGTAGGGGAAAGCAGACTGACTTTTGTATTATGTTAACAACTTTTTTATGTAAGCTGTAAAGTGAACCTTACATGACGAAAATATGGAGTTTGCCACCAAATAATGAACGCCTAGCTATTATACTGACCTGGGAAAAGTATGCAAATCATAAAAGCCAAGAGTAAAGTCATAGGTGGTTATATGCATAAATACTCCATCTCAGAAGTAGAAATTGTACATTTGCAAACGGATATAAAATTACTTCTATTGTATAAACCTGCAAACTTTTAATACGCTTAAATCTGATATAACTAGAAAACAAGGCATAGAGAGCTTAATAGTCCTGTCATTCTTACCGTGCTGAACCTAGGGAAGAGTCCCAAGGCTGGCTGTGGTTCCACAGGAAAAGAGAGAAAAGGCTTCATATCTAGATGGCGCTGAATCATGGCTGGTGGAGGACGAAGCAGGGCAGGCAGGCTTCCACCTCTGTTAATAGTCCCTGAAAAGTAAATACGGGAAATGTTAAACACAGAAATCTACCTCTTCCTACATAAATACACAAGGCATTCTTCAATAAATATGATTATTGTTATTATTATTATACAGGATTTATATAGTGCCAACAGTTTGTGCAGCGCTTTACAATATAAAGGAAGACAGTACAGTTACAATATAATTCAAGACAAGTTGGATTGCCACTATAGGCAATATAAAGGTGCTTCATGATACATTTAAGGTCAGGTAAGCTCAAAGTCAAAGAGATTTATACGACCTGCAATTGACATGTTCTCCAAACGCACGTCAAGCACAGGAAAACAATGCCCATCAACATGAATTCTTACTATGACTCTGAAGGCAGCATGGAGAACACACAATAGAAGCACCGCTCTTCCACGGCCCAGTGGCAAGTGCTTGCCAATGGGAGCATGTCCTTGCTCCAATATGAGCCCATAAAATCAGAAGGAAAGCTGGCCATACACCGGATCCCGTTGGAATAGTTCACTGAAGCTTCTACACAACTGGTGTCCCGCCCAAGGTCCGCCCCCACTGATGCGTTTCACTCAATCACGGGCTTAGTCATAGAGATCAGACGATCTGAAGGTAGCATGTTCCAGAGTTAATCTTAATCTAAAGGCAGCGTGTGGCAGGGTTAGAATGACCCAGAAGGTAGTGGGTGGCAGGATTACTCTGACCCTAAAGGCAGGGGGTGGCAAGGCTAATCTGACCCTGAAGGCAGTTATTAGAAGGGGCACTATGATCTTAAGCCCAGGGTTGGCAGTGCTACTCTGACCCTAAAGGCAAAGGGTAGAAGGTGGGTACTACAATCTTAAAGGCAGGGGGTGGCAGTGCTACTCTGGACCTTGTCCAGGCAGCCTTAAATGCACCCAGGTTAAGACAGGGCTTCATCATTCTATTAAAGCCCTTACACACCTACTCTAATTGTGACAGTCTAGAAAAACTTTGGGCTAGAAGCAGGCAAACTACTATGTATGATTTTAAGATTTCTAAGTTGTTATGATAAAGCGTTAAGTATTTAGTATGACCATGTTTAGTAAATATTTGGGATAAGCTAAAATCTGTCAACTTATAGAATTTGCCATCACTTCAGCCTGTGTAAGATTTAAAAATGTGAGGAGAATCTGAACATTAAGGCCCCATTCACACCTATGCGTATTGTAATATGCGCGTCTGTCGCGCGACCGTCACGCGGTTTTTTCACCGCGATTCGCGGTAAAAAAGCCGCGCGACCGTCGCGCGATTCCAAAGGCTACTTGGCAGTATACAAATGGAAAACGCCCTACAAAACGGACCAATACGCAGCAAAAAACGCTCTGGGACCTTTTCATGCGTGGGCCGTTTTGTAGTGCGTTCGGGACGGGCGGAAATACGGACAGGTGGGAACGAGGCCATTGACTACAATGCTATTTATTTTTTTGACCGTTTTGTAGAGCGTTCATCGAGCGTAGGACGCGCTACAAAACGGTCAGGTGTGAATGGGGCCTAACTCTGAACAAGAATTTAAAAAAACAGAAAGTATGAAAGTACTAAGAGCTCCCATCTTGCTGGAAAATGTTTTGTAAGAGGACCAGGAACCACCAAGATAATAAAATCGTGATTTTCTTCTGTGCAATGACAGGTGCATGGAGGCATGTATTGTGGATAGAAAATACCCATACATAAGCTGTTTAAAAGCATGTATTAACTAAAGCAATGGATCAAAGTCTCTGTCTGTGTCAAATGCATTGCATTTTCCAGCAAGATGAATAAAATGTGCTACCTAGCGTGCATTCATTCTGCCATCCCTTGGCGTTTGATAATTTAACATTAAGGCAGGATATAATATGCACTTTGTAAGTTCCTTGTCAATATTGCACAGGTCTCTGAAATTTGGAAACAATAGATGGAACATCTGTTGGTCTGTAGTCAGCCCTATATTACATCCACAATCACCGGAGGAGGTAGAATCTTGCACAGCTGAACACTGCTGATAACAGTGGTACTAGGCTACACAGTAGGAGAGCTCTGTTGTTGTGCGCTCATACCCAGAGAGGAGAGGAACAAAGCATGTCCCATTCAGTGCCTTTCTGCGGAGCTTAAACTTGATGTCTAAAGGGACAATAGATCACCTTACCCACTGATATCTTACCGGAAAGGTTTACTCAGAGTAAACCTTTCAGGGAGAAAATGCCTCTCTCGCGGACGTCAGGGAGCCGCTATCTAATAGCGGGAGACTTCCTGAACATCAGGGTGACTTGAGATCCCAACATACAGGTGTTGATTGGGCATGGACACAATTGAAAACACTTAGCAAAACAACTCTGCACTGAGCAATTGGGGTGAGTAATTTGTTTAATCTCTCTGGGCTTCTGCAGACCCCCATTTTTCAGTTTGTACAGACAGGCCACATTGAATACTGTCACTTCATTAGTGACCCCTATGTGTTCAGTTCACATTGCAAAGTGGACATCAATACAGCTATTACGGAGTTGGCATGTTATATATAGCCTTGGCGCACAGGTTGTTATCACGCCACATGGGTGAATCCAATAATTGTGTTGCCATTTATATGGCCTACAAAAGAACTCTTTGATGCTGAGCTATGCGTGGAGCTTTTAAAGCTTCACAGGTCTTTTGGGTATATGCAACAAAGGACCACTGAGGCTTTACTAGCGTAAAACACATCACTGCATGTATGAAAATGCTTCTACTCATTAAGATGAATCGGAACTGGCGACAACATTAGCCTGCTGGAGACAAAATGCGAAATAACAGGAAATGATTTGATGTTTTTTTTTTTTCTTGAAAGAAATTTGTCTAGCTGGAAATTCTTCCTTATGATATGAAATAATGAAAAGGTATGCAGCTGTATCTCAGTGTAGCTTTACTCCCTAGGAAGGGCTAATGAAAGTCAATTGTCGGGGCTGGATCTCTATGGGTTTTATCTATGGATGGGGCCATATGCAGCCTTTTGTCAGAACAATTTTCATTTTACTGATCTTGTAAACTGTACATTTTACATTGCATAACCTATCCTGTGGGGGGAAAAAAAGTTTCTAATAGACATTCCACCGTCTGCACACTACAGCACTGCCCTCCACAGCCCCCTCTGTTCCTGGTGGCTGCCCAACTTCGGCGTTGAATGAGGTCAAGCATTATCCAACATAATCCAAGGCTGTCAATGAGTACGTCGCTCAATATATTCCCAATGCATATGTTCCTGGACCAGGCCTGGAGTGAGTGGGTGCTTTAGCATAAGCAAGTAGGCTGGTGTCAGCACACAGATAAGAAGGTATCACAAATCTGCTAATCAATAGTTAAAAACGTTAATTGAAGCGATCGCAAACAGTGTCAGTGCAACATTTTGAGGCCACACGGGAGCTCTTCCTCAGGCATGTGATGACTCACCCCTGGGAGCTAACACATCAGCTAATGCAGTTCTATGCATAACTTTAGACCACCTGCTGCCCAACAATGGAGAAGAGGAAGAAGGACAGTGCTCATCACATGTAAGGCACCTGGAAGTCAGGTATGTGTGCTTGAATCATTTTAAAATTAGGGGAGAGCAGGGGCAGAGGAAGAACGTACTAGGGGTGGGGCGGGTTTAATATAGTAAAAAACTAAAACTAAAAATATATTTCAATATTGAATTTCCATAAGTTCTATCCCACTCCTAAAAACAGGGCTGTCCCTGCACTGGGGCTCAAAATGTCAAGTCCTGAGCTACTAGCCAGGCCTTTAGAGTTACTCGCCACCAGTTGCCCCACCTAACCCCTACCCTGCCCCGGCCTTAACTCCCCCCCTAAACACACCCTCATAAATGAGCACTCACTACATAAAAGGGATTTTTTCAAGTAAGCTTTGATTGTATAATGAAAAACAACTCTGGTGTGTGTTCCTATTACAATGCTGATGTTATAACCGGATAGTATATGCTGGGACGTTACAAGTCCTTTAATTTATTTTAACTAATTTAGAATGTCACAATTTTTTTATACCATGGGGCTATCCTCACCCTGAAGTTACTTTTTAACAAATGGTTACAAGGTTGTCACCAGAACAAGAAGTGAGGGGAAATCTACCCAGAGGAGCCATGGACACCAGTAAACACCTAGTAGGGACGCTAACCCGTCTCAACTCAACATTTGGGATGGAGATACAGTTTAAACCAGCAACCCTATCAGGGCTGTCCATATTCCACACTGGTGCTGTGGTGCATCTGGCAGTGTACTCTTGAACTTTGCATGGGTTGCAGGCGCAATAGGTATCCACCAAAAATGATTTTTTTCAGTACACCAAGACTACACTTTAACAAGTTTTAAAAGCACAGACCTGAATGATCCCTGACACTTGTTATTTTAAATTCTGTGAACGTGAATCTATAAAAACCTCAACTAAATAAATACATTTGCCAATCAACCAAGGAAAATACTAATAATAAAATGCAGTGCATGACATATAGGAATCCGAATAAAGATTTCCTATGGGGAATAACGTAATCAGCTGGGAAATTATATCATTAACTTCCCCCCATGATATTTTAATTAAGTTTGGATTAAGTTTGGATTTCGAAAATCAGTATTGAAAAGTAAAATATATTAATCACCAGTACCGGTAGTTAAAGTGAACCTGTCAGCCATTTAAATGTATAAAATTCATAGTCTTGCCCTAAGAGCAAACAGCACAGGATACCTTTGTATTAGCTTTGTACAACCCTCCTTTGTGTGCCCTTCTGAAACTATGTTCACTCTGTTATTTGAGTACTGACTTGTCTGATATCAGGGCCTGACTTGTCTGACAACTCCCATGTCCAGTGCAACTACTTGTATTAAAGTTGTACATTAACCGCTTGAAGACCAGGTGTTTAGACCCCCTTCCTGGCCAGGCCATTTTTCAGTGTTCAGCGCTGCAGTACTTTGACTGACGTTTATTCCATCATGCAACGCTGTACTGAAATTAATTTTATACAATTTTTTTGGGACAGATAGAGCTTTATTTTGG